AATACTTTCTACTTCTATAACAAATGCATTTTTCCTAATTTATGCCACTTGTCAATTAAGGGGCTCAATTGTATTTCTATGAAAAAATGATGCTGAAAGGTATGATTGATAACTAAATTTGCAATCAATTTGATATTCATTACATCACATTTGTAATCGCGATTCAATTGAGATGCTTACAAAAAATTGGTGATGGATGGTTATTGATGATTAATTGAATGATTACTAATTACAGTCTATAATTCTACTATATAATATTTTCGAATAAAACGTAAAACAATAATTCCCCGTCTGCGAAATTGTGGAGTCAAGACACATTGAGTCTTTATTACACCAAAAGAGAAAAAGAAACAGTAGAAAAAGACGTTTCAGACGCGGCGCGATTAAAAAGCATAGAGTAGCCCAGCCGGACGAAAGGATCGAAACGTTTCGATATCACTGCCAGTAATTTCTTGTGGTCAATCATTTTGCAATCGCTGTTGTCTCCTATTTCGTAAGAAAGAAGTACATTTTTCTAAGATAGCTGGATAAGTGTTGTCCGCGTGGCGGGACAGAAAGATGCTTTCATAAAGCGGTGCTTTTCTTTTTGCGTTTTCGTCTGCGAATCCAATTCTTCCTTCTCCTCTGGTACCTTCACTTTTGTTCGGTTGTATCTATTCTCTTACCTCATCCTTCTTCCAGTCGTTATTTCGCTTTCGAGCATCCTCGAGGATGCGACCATGGATCCTTCACCCACATTTTTTACGAGTTTAATTTTTCTCACTGCAGAAGAAGTTAATTTCTTTTTACTTCTTAATTGGTGCGCATTTAAAAATGTTGCAAGTGCATAAAACAGGAACTTGCGAGAATATCTATTTCTAAACTAGTTGTCACCAAGGAAAAGAAAATTTTTAATACAGGATTATAAATATAATTTATTATAATATTTCCTTTTAGATTTCTTGTTCTTTAGAACAAGAAATATTATAAATATACTAAAAAAAGATAATGAAAATTCGAAAGAGTTAATTGTTGAATATGTTCATCTAATAATTTATTTACAAATTTATGAACACACGTCGTATCGTCAAATTTAAATCGCCGTAAAGCGTTATCTCGCAGCTGCAAAAGCGCTCCTTGCGAAAGGAGCTCGCGCTTCTCTCTCGGGAATTCGCTCGGAGAACATTCGGGCGAGAATTTCTGGTAGCTGATGGGAAGGATAACTCGTCCCCAAAGTGCAGTAACCTCGGCGAAGGAGTCTTGGGTCCCTGCCTCTCTCTCTCTCTCTCTTTCTCTTGTCTGCATTGCGCGTGCAAGAAGGCCTTATGACCCATGCAAAATGGATGCATTCCGCTCGAGCCGAGCTGCATCTTTTTCGCCTCCTTCGTTGAGTTACCCACTAAATCGAGCATACCTATAAACCAAAAGCGCGGAATTTCATTTGAATCTTTCGAGATTCAAAACCTCACCCATCTTTCTCACACCTTTATTTCCTCCGAACAGATAATGAGAATACATCTCTTTCGCTGCAGCTTCCAAAATTTGCAAAGTCAAATTTTTAATTGATCACTCTCATGTGACTCATCGACTCTCATTTACACTTGCTACAATTTAACATTAATTTTATTTTAAGTTTGAATTATTCATAATGTGCTTCTGTGTTAAATATTATTCGACTTGAATAATTTCTCCATTATATCAATACAATTTTTTCAATCATCAAAAAATATTCTTTTGATCAATTGCAAGAATGAGATTTCATATTATCAATTCATATTTAATTTATTTAATTTGTGTAAATCCAATTAGCTTTGTAAAAGCATATACTGAAAAAAAGAGTGATTGCATTAATAGAAATTTGGGAAAATGAACAAATCAAAGTTTTCTAATTAAATCTATTAAAATTCTAATCGAGATAATCAGATGTCCAATTATGATGATTAGAATTTTGGTTGATGTGATTAGCATATGCCGGTTCGTTCATTTTCAATCAGAAGTTTTTCTCATTGTGTGTGGCATATCTTTTCTATTCATTCATTCGTTCGATTATTTTTAAGACAGAAGTAATTACCTAAGAGGCAATTAATCGAAGATGGATCGTAATTGCAAGCAATTTGCCGGGATCGGTTGGCATAAGGTTAAGCAGCTGCTTGTAATATATTATTTAAACGAAAGCTTGAAGGCCGCAGGCCCGCAAATAGAATGAAGCGAGCGGTGATCGAGTACCCCTATGCGTTTTCTGAGGGTGCCACATAGGCGGGTGGTAGTAGTTACATCCGTTTCAGAACCAGGAAAACATCCCCCTCAATGAGACGATGTGGTTACGTAGTTACTTCTCTCCCCGGCACTGTTCTCTTGACTGTACTTACGTGTCTCGAACAGGTTACAAACGACGGGCGCAGTATTACAACCCGCAAATTACGGGGCCCCCCATTTGTCCCCTCCCCCTCCCCCCGCTCGTTTCTCTGACTGCAACACAAATATGCTGGTCCAAAGCTGGCGGATTACACGGTTGACTGTGAAAACTGGAAACCTCCTTCCCGTCAGCCTTCTCTCTTTGAACGCGCAGACATTTGACATCTTCGGGATATATTAAGAAAGAATATCTTAATTAATTAGTAAACCAAGTAGGTTAATTTTTAAGGTAGGTTAATATTTAAAAGATAATCGTGAAAGTAGGATGCATTAATGTAACTGTATTTATACACGGAAAGAATGATTTTGCTGAAAGATCTAAAATTTTGGATAGATGTAAAAATAATTTTGTTGAAAACTCAAACAATTGCTATCAAGATTGCTATAGAATATCAAAATTTATTTGTAGCACTGGTCATAACTTTTTACAGTTTCCAATATATAATAATTATTTTGATGATCCATTAAAATTATTTTCAGATTTGTATTCAACAAAATTTTAGATCTTTCCGCAAAATTCCGTGTAATAAAAAAGTAATTCTTTTTAACACTAATAAATATAATAATATAGTATAAGAATAATATATGAACAATATTATAATATTTTTACAATGACTTTTCATAATAATGACAAAGATTAAATGTAATTGACTTTCCGGGCGAATGAAAATTTGAATGTCAGGGAAAAAACACGTGATCACATGTGGAAGCTAAACGGAGGAGGTAGTTCTTCCGTTCATAAATTACAATATTCGTGAGCCACCCTCGTCGTTAAGCGAATGCGTGTTTCCCGTCGCGCGGTGGCTACGTGTGAAATTCATTTACGGAATTAATACCGTGGATTTGCTAAACGAAGAATTACTGCGTGTCCCGCGTTCGCCTTAATTGCGCGAGCAATACTATTTGCATCGGGTTTGAGATTGGTTCATTTTACACTATTAATTTTTTACTTTCGAATTACCGTATATAATTAATTAACATGTTCATGTCATCAGAGCTTTCTCAATTCTATTTATAATTATTTATGATTACTTTTTTATAAATTATTTTTTAAAATATTTCTTACGTGCTGTTAGGAATTACGTTATTATTTAAATTAGTCAACTCATAAATTATGTTAAATTAAAAGAAAAAAATAATGTATATAAAAATATAACATTTGTTTAAATATATAATTAATTATAAATGGTTTTTTAAAAGTATGATTGTCCATTTATCATTTAATTTTACATTATACGTTATGATATATTTATAATGAGTCATAAACATCATTTTTACGATGATAAATAGCCGCATGTAAAAGTTTCATTTTGCGCCGCGGTTTAATTTTCCGGAACGTTGAACCCGCAGGATGTTGCTCGCGTAACCAAAATCCTCATTTCGCCCAGAGGCGATCCTTTTCACCTCCTCGGCCCGTAATAACGCAGGAGTCTGCGTATTACGTCGTTTGATTAATTAATTTACGCCGATGAAGCATCGGATTACTAACCCTCAGGGCTGCAAGCTTTTCCTTGCCTCGTCTTCTTCGCGAAGAAACGAAGTAAACAAACGATTCCATCCGCTTTTCCAGTTGCCATTATACACCTAATGGTGTTAACATTAACCGTGACAACAGTTGCGCAGACAAGCAAATAATTGCATCGTGTAAATTTGCTAAACGGCGTGACTGCCGGTTCATACAAAGGTACATCTTAATTCTCTCGAAATGGGCTTTTCATTGTTTGAAAATTGTGTTCATATAACATGTTATTCTCTAAATGATTTCATTTACTCTATTATCATTCTTGAAATTTTCTAGCAATTTAAGTTATATAGCAAAGAAATCTAAATTCCGTTTATTTTCATAAAATATTAACATAAACCAAGATTTATTAGATATTGATTTTATAAAAACTCGATATATGATGATTATGACAATTTTAATTTTAAAAAATAAAAATAATATATTTATTATATAAAGATATTTTTTTCACATATATATATAAAGCTTATATAGATTTTTATCGTTGTATAAACAACTTTATAAATTATTATACGCTAATCTTTTATTGACAACAATAAAAATGGCTTTACAAAATGAAGAAAAGTTTGCGATAAGAAAGACAAAGGAATAGTCTCTACTGTACCGTTGAACACTATTCTTGAGATAACAATGAATAATTGAAGAAGAGACTCCGAAGGGGAGGAACACGCGAGGAGACGTCTAGTATGGGAAACTACTTTCGGTGTTAGAAGGGTAGGAGAAAGCATCGTATTCACGAGAAGCACGAAGGTACAAGCATTAATTTTTGCGAGTGTGAGACTCGAGGGACGAGTTGCATCCACGATGCATCCCGGAAGCTGCACCGTATTTTATGCGTGAGGTTTGCAAGTTTACATTACCAAGAGAGGATCTGTTAGTTTCGGTAAAGTAAAGGTTTATAGGGCGACGAGAAATGTAGAAGTATTCGCGCTACAGCGTTATAAATGGCCGCAACAACTGCAGTTGGTCCTAATAGGTAGAATTACTACAATATTCTTCAGTACGCGTATTAAACAGAATAATCATGTATAAGTGTCATGGAACAAAAAGGAAAGGGCATACAAAATCAGCACAAATTCTGGGATTTTTTTCAGTATTAAGTATTTATTACATACAAGCATTTTTTACAATATGAAGTATTTGTTTCTTTAGACATGACTGGTGATATTTAGCATTTTTTTCGTTATTGTATATTTAGAAACATTCTCTCGTATTCTATTTAATTACCATTATTATTAGGTATTCTTATAGAATAGTTTTAATAGAATCTCTCTCAACCAAATCTAATAAAAATAGTATAAGTGTACACGTGACGCAGGGATAATATACGGTGTCCAAACGATTAATAAATATTTAAAAGAAGAACTAATATAAATAAGTTTCATACAATAAGTCGTAACGAATCGGGCGTTTCCAAGTTCGTTACAGTTGAAATTTTTACAAGACAAACGCAGAAACAATTTCTCATATAAGAACGGGCGATAAAACGTGTCAATAAATCTGTCACTTTGCATGGTTTCAGACTGTGTATACGCTTTTCTTGCTCGATTTTCTTTTTAGTGATCGGGACATTTTCGGCGTATGAACAAGTGACTCGCGATGCAACTCTGTACAAATACGTTCGCTCTAACAACTCTCAATAAAAATATATATTAATCGTTCATAAGAAAATATATTGATCATTCGCGAATGTGATAGAATTTTTCCTGGCGCCCGAAAAATAAGTCGCAAATGCGAACAAAGAAAAATCTCGAATTTAAAAAATTATTAACGAGAAAATTTGAATTTTATAATACATATCAGTTCGATAAATCCTCTACGCCGATTATGATAAAATGTGAATAAAGTAAAGAGCGAGGGGAAAAGGGAGATAAATCTCGCGCGTAAATGTACGAGAAAAATTGAATAACAAACAAATTTGTACACTAATCCTATCATTTTTCTAATGTCGACGTTTCTCTCGATCATATTTTTCGAACAAAATCAGAATAACAGAAATGCTCGTTTCTCTATTCTTGTTATAAATAATTTGTCAAACACTATATCGTGAAATAGGGCGAGCGCAAAATATAAAGCATGCTACCGATATTATTCCACGTCTCAGAATTTTTATGTTGCAAATAATGACAAGTAAAACTCACTTTTTGGACGTTGCAGCGATATTCGCTTTTACGTTATGCATTAACGTTGCGGTATCGATCGTATTTACCTTCATCGAATAAAGTGTAATTAAATCCCATCCATAGTATCTCTCGCATAACAATTCTTACAATTAACGTTACTAGATCGTCACTCACCGTTAACTTATGCAGCGGCTATCTCACAAAGCAATCAGCATTATCGTCTTCGTCATCACAGCTAGAAAATTTATGCACGATCCGCGAAAAAAACGTAACGATAGTGAAGTCTAGCAAATACCTAGAATATATACCAATGTTAAGTAGGCCCTCTAAATGAAATACGAAGAAGAAAAAACAGTAAGATTGCTTGACTAGTGAGCGCACGCCCCAAAATCTGGTATGGAAGAAAAGTTTTTTCTTTTTCTATCTACTTTTCCCCATCTCGTATCTGCAGAATGTCTCTTATGAATCTCCTATTCAAGAATGCGCTTAGATCTATTCATGAAATTATTATAAGATAGTACCACGCTACGTTATCTTATATGTTAGGGACATTCTCTAATTCATCGTTTTGGCAGATACGTTCTCAGCGTTTGATCTGACTTCTATTTTATCTCTCTTTTTCTTTTACATCTTGTATGTTTATTCGTCATTTACTCTCCGTGCAATTTCCAATTTTGTCATCTCTATTGATTAACGCCTCAAAAATCTTAATTGTAATCTACACACGCATGTATATGTGATAAGGGCGAAGTCGTGTGTGTATATGTGTGTTGCGTGTGTATGTGAGAGAAAAAAAATAATTTCATGTCGATTCGTTATCGTAAAATATGTCTGTGTGTGTAATGAACATCTGAAAATGATGTGTTACAAATAGGCCTCAATCCCCTTCCTTTAGAAAGTTACATTTGTCTAATAGCGTACTACGACACACAGATTGAGTGTCCATACTTGCTGTTGCGTAATAATAATCAATTAACATTATATATTATTTTACATTTCCTTCTTCCCGGTGACGACGCTCAGAGCTCGGCATGATTGTGAGGTACGGGGATAGTCTTTGCGCCCTCATTCTCGCTTCACCGAGATATCCCCTTTACACATGATACGTCGCGCGACGGCGGTTATTTACATTATCATAAACAACAACGTCTCGTTCCGAATGCTACCGCTCGCTATGAGCAATTCGATTGCCCAACTACTCTTTTTCTGTTTGTCCGGGAACGTTTAAGAGACATCTTATGATAGTAGATCTGCGGAGAAAAACAGAGACAGCATTTATTCAGGAGTCTATTATCCAAGTATTTTCGATTAAAATGATATATTAGTCCATTTATAGTTGTAATATGTAGGTTCTATAAAATCGCGATTCCAGTTTTCTTTATTAAACAAAATTCAATAATTAAAAATGCAATAAAGACTTTGATTTACATACCTGGTACTTGATTGTTATCCTGTGGCTTGTTGATGAAATTGTCCTGGAACGGATTAACATTGGCATTAGTGGCAGCGGGCACGAACCCCATCGGAGTAAACGGCATCGCCGCCGGATTCAGATTGGAGTTGAGAGTATCCTCATTCGCCAGATTAGGCGTCAGTTCGAGTATCGGCCCGGTATCGTAGCCGGTACTGTTATTACTCAGAGTATCGAAGTCCGACAGGTCTAACAGGTTGTTGGTCACGTTGTTTTGCTTGCTACAAAACGAGCCAAATGAAAAACATAGAAAGACTAAGTTGATAGCCAGACATACGGATTAGGGACTACGACTTAAGCGACTATTTACGATCACTAACACGGAATCGCCGCCGCTAAATTAGCTAAGCCGATTGCGAACGATTCATTAACACCTTCAGTTGAATCACTAAAATGAAATGAAACGGATTCGGATTTTGTCGGATAGGAACATAGTTCGCGATTCTAGGTACATCTAAAAAACGTCATCAACTGAATGATAGAAAGCTAGATAAAAATAACTAAATAACGCATCGGATAAATATAAAGCGCTTATGCGTCAATTGTTCTGCGTCATTGATCATATAACTGCTTCTCAAATCAGACTTTAAATGCCTTGAGGGGTAACTATTTTGATATATAACTATATAAAGAACTATTATAAGCGATGAAGTCTGATAGAAATTGCTTTTATGCGTAGCAGTACTAACCAAGAAGGTTGACAACCTTTTGCGGTCCTTTGTAGTATCCAATATATATATATCTTTTGTCTGCTTTTGACCGAATAGAAAAATTTAAATATAACCAATATATTTACGTATATTATTCTGTTGTTGGATCGCAACAGGTTTCTGTTTAAATAACTACGGGAATCAGTTAGTTAAATTGATATACACGTGTCAACTGTGTAACTATAATAATCATAGCTTGCTAGAACATATTACAGCAAAACAGCAAATACAGATCTAATTACATAAAAAATTGAATCACATTCGATCGAATCACACTCGTCGGATTAAGATATTAGAGAAGAAAATTCATGCCACGTTTGGTTTCTTCTTCTTTCGTTTATTTTCCTATACGGATACCTTTGTGGAGGATTCGTGGATGTGGTGTGCGTGAAGAGACGTTTTCTCACGAAAAAGTACTATATCGGAAAATGTGGAAGTAAATAGTACATAGCAAAAGTAGGCAGTAAGTTGACATATATCGCGCTTGGTATACAATACACACAAGCATGAGGAACTCAGACAATCATTGTGCAAGGAAAAGAACAAGCCACACCATATCAACGTTAGTTAACATGCATTGGTGATTTGTTACGAAAATCAGTCGCACTTACGGTACACAACTGGTCAATAAATGGAAGAACACTTTTTATTAGTACCTAATTGGAGGAAAGATCAAAGAGAGATACTCAGCAAAGATGATATTTACAAATTATTATACTATATACTTATTATACTATGAAAATGTTAGTTGCATTTAATGTAACTGTGATAAGTTATTGTTTTGTTACTTTGCAAAAGTCATGTTAGCATTATTCATCCTTGCTGAGTTGGTATATTGTGAAATCACAAAACGAAACTTTTCGATGACTCATTAGATTTATGCCGTTTGTTTCTCTTTACATTATATATACTGAGATTTATTTGTCCTATGTGATTTAACACTAAATGTATTCTGCAGTTTTGTTAATATTTTTCTTAATTTCATATTTTTGTGTACGATATTACATAACGTTCTTCCAACTCGTTCACATAATACCTAATGACGATCGAAGTACGCGATTCTCGTTATCTTAGACAATCTAGCTAAAAATAGTATGTAAATTTGTCGTTAATACATAGCTGAATATCAATTATAAAATATATGTAACTATTACAATAGGTGATATACAATATACATTCTCATATTTGCAATCTCATTATCACCGCGATAGTAATGTTAGTCTCATAATTTATTATTGATTAATATGTTGCTAATTGTGCAACTAATCATATCATAAACGGTGAGTCGCAATGGCGTGCTTATTATGCTCGTCAACCGTTATTCTGACTACTTTTGCAATGTACAATACGCATGGGTTACTCAGAATATTTGCATGAAGCGATAAATGTTCGGTGAAATTAATTTCGATAGGCAGTTCCTTCCTATAGATGTCTCAGGAAAGCGCAGTATATAAACTTTTTTACTAAATAACTGTTTATTATAATAATGTACATATTGTTTATTTGCTACAACAATATAACAAAAAATTGTCATTCTTTAATTAATTGCAAAAAGAAAACAGAAATATTAAGAAAAAAAAATATATACTTTAAAAGTATATACATATTTTTACTTCTTTATGATCAATTCTTACATAAAAATTTCATTTCAAAATTAATATTACCTATAAAATTTTATTGATTCAAAACATTTAAACTTATTTACTAGACAACTTTTAGTATTTTGAGTTGTATCTTTGCTTATATATATATATATATATACATATATATATATACACACGATATAACTTTGAAATTTCAATTATAACTTAATTCACTTCAATAGTGAACCGATATTACAAGACACAATTATAAACAAGACAATTTATTATATATACAATGCCTTTCATAATAAAGCTTTTAAGAATACATCTAACAATTTTACATTCAACCATAAATACAAGTTCAAATAATTGCCATTTCAGAATCTGATAGAATCCCTCTTGCCGGTTCGGAATCTGATAGAACCCCTCTATGTATGTGTACAAATCTAAAATTCGAAATAATCAATCTGTTTATGGTGCGATAATAATTCATTGTGATTTATCACTACATTATAGAATTTTTATCACACCTATTTACAAATAAAAGCGTACAATATTTAATTTAATATATTTGGCGTGTCACGTATTCTCTATAGCTTTAAATTATACAGTGTACTCAAGAAATCTTTACGGAAATTTTCTTTTTAATAGATGCCATAGTAATATTTGATTTCTTAATTTTCTGTAACGCGTAGATGGTTTTATCATGTATAATGATGATGGTATATCATGTATAAGAATTTTATATGTTTAATTCATTTTATGTGCAATATTTAAAAGTTGATCCTTTTATTGCGGATTAATCGGATGTGTGTATGATATTTATTTAACATTTAGTTCTTTTTTCGATCGAGTAACCATACTGTTGACTTTGTGATAATCAGTTCATTTTAATTAAATAGTATATTGGCTAGTATCGTGCAAATTACTTATGCCCTATACAAACGTAAGTGATATTGCACTTTATCTATCTGTTTCATAGTTATTTCACAATTAATTATTAAATTAATTTTTAATTAATTAAATACAATAGAAGATTGTGTTCAAAAGTGTTTATTTTTCTTATCATGCTTAAAAGATACTTTCGCTGTTACGTAAAAAAATTAAATTTCCTTGATGTTACACTCTTGCCTTCAATGTATTTATTTTTGGATGTATTTTTCAATCGTATAATAAAATTTTAGCAGCGTATGTTGCATCTAAAATTGATCTTGAACGCTTTTCAATCACGTCGAAAATTATATGTTTCAATGCTTAATTAAATGCTCGTTACCGCAAAAAACAAGTTGTTACTATGGTATATTATTGTCCATCTAACGAGAAAAGACGCATATGTTTTTAACTCTCGGTCGACGAAGGTATAACACGTTTACGATTCCGTGGTTTAGAATTGGTATACTTACACAGTGGCATTGTCCAGCGTAATCGATTGACTGTTGATACTATTTCCGTGATTCGTATGATGACCGTTCAATTCTCCTTCAACGTTACCCTGATTATTATCCAATACGATTTTATTTTCGTTAATGCCGTTGCTATGTGTCGTGCCATTGTGCACTATATCAGGTGCAGGTACACTGTTTTCTGTGTGATGCGCCCGTTGTTCGCCGCTGATAAATTGCTGAGTCGCCTCGGAAATTAAACTAGCTGTCATGACGTCGTCACCTTTACCGTCCGGCATCGGTTTATTCTCGTCGGTAGGGCTATCTTCTTTTAGCTTGTCGCCATCACCGCCTTCTCCCTGTACATATTTGTTGTAAGAGATTATTTAATTTTATCAATTAATTTATTAATTTATATGCAAACTTCAGTCTGGATGAATTTTGCTCCAATATAATTAATTTGAATAATTTTTTAATTTAATAGAAGCATTAATATATTTATATAAATGTTTCTAATATTACCTTGGTAGACGTATTAGTTTGATTTTTGCCTCTAGTCCTAAGCATAATCGCCTCGACTCGTTTACGTCTAGCATTGCGCTCCTCTTCTTCCTTCTTAAGCCTCTCAGCCATCTCGATTCGTTGCCTGTAATTTAAATATATTGATATTTCATCATGTAATCTATTATTAATTTTCCAAAAAATAAAGAAGGAGAAGATTCTAAACCAACTTTTCTGCTTCTTCTCTCGCTTTGCGTTCTGCTTCTTCTTTTTCTTGTTTCTGGCGAGCTTCCTCCTCTCTTTTTCTTCTATCTTCTTCCTCACGACGTTTAGCTTCTTCGATTGCCAATTGCAATCGCTGTTCCTCGGCTTCTCGAGCTTCATTAGCTAAGCGTATAGTTTCTTCCTCCAGACGACGTTGCTCTTCTTCCTCCGCGCGCAATCTTTCAGCTTCTATACGTGCTTCTTCCTCCTACGGAAATTGTTATACATAAGACGCGAACAGATGTAAAAGCTAAATTGGTCTAATTAAATTGATTTTGTAGATGGTATGTACCTGTCGCTGGCGCTCCAATTCCGCTTCTCGTTCCGCTTGTTCTCGAGCTAATCTTCTACGTTCAGCTAAAGCGGCTTTTGCTTCCTCTTCGGTGGTGATTCTGATTTTCGCGATCATTGAAGCTGTAAAGAATCATTAATATAGATAAATATTCATCATTAAATCAAGAGTTTGTCACAAATCATTCGACATCGATAAAATTTTGATGAATTATACCTGACATGTCAACTTGCTCGTCCATTTCAGCTTCAAGCTTAATTTCAGTCATCTCTGGCGATTTCTTCTCTTGTTTGTTTTCTTCCTTTTTAGCAATTTTCGACGGTTCTTCCGCAATAGCACCTGATAGATTCTCTTGCATTAAATTAGTTTCGTCTTTGACTTGTTTGCTTGCCGACACAGGTTCTGTCCCTATCTTTGTATCATTAGTTATAGATTCGACAATATTCGCTTCCTGTTAGAAAAAAATGAAAATGAAAATTTGAATATATATATCTTTTACTACGTAAAAATTATATATTGAAATTTACCTGTGTCTTTTCGCTACCCTGATCCTTCTTTTCCTCATTTTTATCCTCCGATTTCACATTCTGCGTCTCTTTATTCTCATCCTGCTTTATGATCTCCACGTTAGTTTCGCGAATGAGTGGTGCGTGCTCAGCTCCGGGACTCTGCAGGGGTGTCGCTTTCGGAGTTATTCGCGGTGATGACTTGGCGTTCTTGATTAACTTCTCCGTCGGCTTTCTCACTTCCGCAACTTTGGGTATAGAAGGTTTCTTTGGAGTGCTATGGACCTTTGGCAGTGGTGGCTTTGAATCCTTCGTTAATTTCGTGTCCACCAGATCTGCGATAATGAGAACGATCGGGATATTTTCTATTCTATCGCATATGAAGCTTCTCGGGTACATACATTTACAGTATTTACATGTGCAATTCTAACAATTGTGAACAAAAATAATATATACAAGAGGTGGAAATAGAAATTTAAAAGCAAAATTTCATTAAAAAGTAATAAAATATAAATTTCGTAAAAAAAAGAAATAAAATATAAATTTATACAAAAATATATTGTTCAAGAGAAGAAAAGATATACGAAGAAAAAAATTTCGAATAAAGCCGAGATGTCGTTAGACATGTATACATGTATCCTTGTATATCCTTTCAGGATATTTGGATTACAGGCATAAAAATAATTTTTATATTTATCTCCTTTTCGACCTAACTCCAACAGTAGTGTAGTACAATCTTCTGTAGTGCTCTACAATCTTCGTTAATCGAGGATTCAGTTTTGATTAATTGTTTTTCTTTTCTTTTTTTTCTAATCCCTTCGCTGATCCTCGGATGATGTAAAAGGGATGCTGTAGGGAGGAGAAGTAAAATGGGCATGCTCACTGTGTTTCTCTGTGACCGAGACACCGGTACCGGCAATAGAAGCAGGTCGCGGTCGGCGCGACGCGGCCGTACGGGTACGCAGATTGACGTTACTGCTGCCCACGCTGCTGGCACTCTGTTGACTCATGGAGCTGTGCGGTCGGGACGGGCTGTTGGGTGTCACTTCGCCGCTGCGGATACCTACGCGTACCCACCCAAGGTAAGTAATTTGTTTGATCTTTTCGATGGAAACTTGAACGCGATCGCGTAGATCTTTCGATAGAGAAGCACGGCGGTGCAAATGAATTTCTCGTTTGTACTTTTCACACTTTGCATATTGAGATCGTTTCGCGCTTGTGACGTTGTTGTGACGAACGCGAGGTGTAGCAGGTGAACAAGAAACACAAGCACCGCCACCGACGTTCAAGTGCAGTCCGTGAATAAAAAAAAAAAGAGAAGGAAAAGAATACAGTCGAAATAAAAGAATAAGCCAATACAAATAAGAAAAATTAAGCCAACAGAATAAGGAAAAATAAATTATAATCGCACAAAAAAGAGTGAACTGAAAATAAGAATAAAAAGTAAATTAATTAGGAATAAACTGCACACCAAATACGAATATATACATTTATAATACTAAGTGAATTGCAAGATAAGTTATATAGCGATATAATAAGGTATAAAAACGTGCAGCTTACCGGGATGTTAGCTCATACCTTCACCTGTGGTACCGAAAAGCCGTTGAAGAGATCTTCCTCAGGAGCGTTTTGTTAATCAATTCGGAAGTCAAAGAGCCGGCTGCATCAAAATCGCGTTGACAATGCTTAATTAAATTCTCTTCCTTTATATTATTAATTTAGCCGTTCTTTAATTAATGCAGATTATTGATACAATCGGCTCTTGATGTTAAAAGTGACAAAAGAGTCTGCCATCAAAATATAATATTAAAAAGTATAGAGATCGAGATTCGAAAATCGATGGGTTAATTATCTTTGAGAAAGTATTATAATAGATAGAAAAAAAGTTAGAACAATTAATATTTCGCGACTTGAAATTAGAAGAAGAACATCTTTACTTTTATGTTCACGGCGTGAAATAAAGTTGGTCATCCCGATTGACTTACAAAGACTCCTTTTCACTTATTCATACATGTGTGCACCCAACTCTGATTGAAGTTTTCTTGTTAAGACAGTGAGTGCATTCATGTGCTGTATTTTGATTCAACTTTGATTTATGAGATCATTTCCCATTTTATTGAAAACCATTTTATGCCAAGCTTACGAAGCTTGTCATTAAGCAATGATCAGTTTGACTATATACAGTGACAGAAATTGACTAGAAAATTAGTACGAAGCGGGTGATTAATTATTCTGAGAAAAGCTACAATGTTGATCGGAGAAAGTTATATCGCATAAAGAGGATATTGAATATTACGAGATAAATTGATAAAACTGTAGTTTTTATATATAAAAAGAATGTGATCTATATTATTGAACTATCTCTTAACTATAATTATACTGTATAATTATCATCTATAATTATACGATTAAGGATAGACCTCTACACTTTCTTAATAACAAAGAATGGAAAAACTATCGATTTATTTCTTCGGAAATCGTGGGAGATACTTTTGCTATGTACAGAAGCTGAATTTAGTGAAGGATTCGAAGTAGTCGAGTTGAGTGCACAGTGACACTTACCTTGTTGCTGTTGGGTCTGCTGGTACTCGCGAGCCTTTCGGCGTAGTCTTTCCGCGCGGGTAGGTCTGGGCATAGGTGCCGCGCCCGGTAGCGTGCCCATGCTACGCGAGTTATCGGAGCGTTTTAGACTCTTGGCTCCTCCGGGCGCGGCCAAGTGCGACATGCTGCGACTCATGCTAGAAGCGCTCTGCAGAGGCTGGCTTTGCTGTTGTTCCGCCAACGTGCCGAGTTGTTGCTCGGTCGTGCGTTTCCTAGGCTGCGCCAGCTGATCCAGCCTGGACATGGAGTAAGTCCTACCTGGCGAACGTGTGAAGGCCTTGACGCTGGAGCTGCGTGCCGTCGACGGTGGGCCGTCGCGCGGGGACGGTATCGTCGGCATGAGGTCGGTGCGTCTCCTGTTCACACGTAGGTAAACCGAGGTTGGGGTGCTGGGCGTGCCACCGTCGCTATCATCACCTGCAAAGAATCTCGCTTAGGGTGTCGCCCGTACTGCGAAACGAGCGACGTCCATCGATTCGTGGGGAACGCGACGCGGCTCGCTCGATGGAGAAGCACACTCGAGTAAAGAGTTTCTCTGACGCGCCAACTCGGTCGCATTCAGATTCTCATCTCTCTTTTTTTTTTTGCTATTTCTTTGCGGTTGTATTGCTTTTCATGCTGTGGCGTGTGGGAATGATGCGGAGGAGTACACTGAGAGAGATTTTATTTGGAATTTCATAGCTGTAAAGTACAATATATTCGCGTTTGCTTAAAATTTTAATGTGATAAAGAATTATATTTGATATAAATAATTGACAAAAAAAGAGATTTTTATTAATAAAGAAATATATATTTAAATATATTTAAATATATTTTTGAACGATTTATTTGATAAAAAATATATTCTCTCAACGTACATAAATCATGTATTAAAGCACATGTAACTATTTATAAATATCAAATAGGTATCAAATTTAATGTGCATATTTTATATACACATTAAAAGAAAATACATATATTACGATATTTTTTGTAAATAGCACATAAAAAACAACATTCAAAGATAACATTCAATTAAATAGAGTTAATCAAACAAATTCTAAAAACAGCAAGAAACCCATCTATGCAAGCGATAAACTTTATACTATTGACGATTGTAAGTTTACGTCAAATTAACTAACTAACGTCATTAATTGAGTTAGATTTTCACCGCCGTACTTTGTTACAACGTGCAATAATATTACTCTATCTTTTATTACTAAACTACAATTTAAATTCTATTATACAGTAAATTATCAAATATATCTTAAGTTATGTATGTAATTGTTAATAAACTGATAGTTAAACGTTGAATTGCGAGGTATATGCTTTAATGAAATAAATGAAAAATTGATTGTGACTGATAATCGTCCTAGATCGCATTCGCGACGAATTCATTAAGAAATAACGCTGAGCTAAATATTAATTAACGTACTACGAATTAACAAATTAAAGGTTCGGCTTGCAAAATGCACGTTGCAACTAAATATTAATAGTGTCTAGTGATTAGTTCGTGTCAGTAACGAAATTAATAGGAATCACATACGGATAGGCAAACTAATTATTGCGTGATATTGATTACCACATGGTTTCACTCACAAATTGTAAAATCCATCTGATACCAATATCATGCAATCGGGAAGGAGCTACGGAATGAGAGAAAGTGCGCGAAATATGTTCTTATACGGTGTTAAATGAACGTTACATGCGTTGATAGAGTGTATTGTGAAGTAAATGAAAAACGTAATGGCGTAGAACACGAGAGAGAAAAGGAGAGAGTCCGACGAGAACAAGTGCTGCTAAACAAAACGAGAGAGAGAGGTAAAGGATCGACAATATTCATGACGAACAGAAACGGATCTCTCCCGGCTTTCTTGCAGGCTTCTGAGAGATCAGGACTCACCACTGGCAACCCGCTGAATCATGGGACGCCTAGTGTCGCTATCGGACTTATCATCGACGGCAAAGATGTCAGTTGTGGGGGGCAGAGAGAGGCTGGCTCTCTTATGCTTGGCAGGAGTTAAGGGGGGATCGGGGCTAGAATTCCAATTGAACACCTCGTACATGGACGAGGACATTCTCATATCTGCGAACAAACCATTCAACGCAACGCAAATATTAGGTGTTTCGCGAAAAGTCTTCTAAATAGGGCCGGGATAATGAGAAAAATAAGTCGGGAAAGCATAGGTATCAGCGTGAGTTAGATACAGTGCGAATCGCACACCCTGTTGCCTTCCCTTATTATTTTCCATACACCTCACTATGCAGAACCATCACCGGTAAGTCTAAATCATAAAAGGGACAGAAGTACAGAGAGGAAACGTAACCCCAACAATTAAAAATTATTTCCTGATATTTTAAGAAATCTATGTATCTTCCGTTTCCTTCCAGTGGTTACCAAAATGTTATTTCGTTAAAGAAAAAAAAGAGAATGTTTGGACAGAGAGGGAAGAATGTGTGGATGAAGATGTGATGTTTACAGAGTGAATACTATCCGAGCAATCTGTGTGTGCAGTGTAATATAATAGTAAAAATAAATGATATCGCGTAAAAAGCAAAACTTGCGATTTATATCGCGGGACTTCAAACGTTCTCAAGACTCGCTTGTGTAACCAATCTCAAGCTGAAAATACGTGAATTCGGCTGTCGTTTAAAGGAATATTGCCATAAGAGTGTACACAAAATAGGCTATAGAGAGTGTAAACCTGAAAGTAAAGAACCAAATATAAAAACTTATGCTATGGGCAAAATCGCGATACAGATTCTAATAGTGCTGGTACAATCGTTCTTTCATGCTTCGCGGTGTCGTCTTTGCAATTTCATACAATCACACGAAAACAATATTTTTTTTTATTTAAGAATTCAAAAAACGCAATTCAATTATTCAACCAATTTAATTTTACATAGAAGTAATTTAATCGCTTTAGTTATTAATTTCCATAATCATAATAATTCACATATTTTATTAAACACAATTATTTTTATTACTATTTACATTCCACATTATAATAATAGATACAACAATTTTACGCAGTGAACAAATTGAATTTTACAGCAAATATAAAATTTTATCTCCTGCGATGGAATCTTTTCTTACTTTGTAAATAGTAGTATCGATTATCACTAAGAAAAATATATCGTTATCAAAGGTATCGGAATCAAACCTGAAGTATAAGCCGCGAGTCGCTTTCTTTGTAACGTTTATTTGATTAGCTCTGAAAATCGACATGACATAGAAATATTTTAGAAGCGATGACGTGATTAAATGACACATTCCTCGTGAATCCGCGACAGAAAGAACGATTATAGGCTTGTACGACAAACATCAATCATCAATATATATGTCGGACGTTCGAGCAAATAGGGGTGGAGCAAGCAAATGGAAACGGGACGTGAATTCACCGATACGATTTATCCCTTCAGAACGTCAGATTTATCTCGCTTCAAAGAACAACTTTCACATCATTGCGAAAGACTTATAAAATACCGTCGTATATTTTATTACAAGATGACTTAACTGTCGTTAATCAGGTGCTTAATCTCAATCTTTCTCGTTATGCGATATAGCATGTATTAAGTATCCCGATCTGTATTTATACTCACATTGAAGTAAATCCGCTTCCGAGTCGCTCATCATGCGTGTTCGCATCAACGATTGTTGATTCGACGCCCGACTGAATTTTTTAGAGTAAATACTAATTTGCATTCTACCGGTGCACGGTGCAGAATAAATACCACGCGTGTATTATTTACCCGTCGTATCCGAGGAACGGAAAAGCCTTTAACGCTTTCAGCTGCTGCTGAGCTACTTCATATTACATATTTATGTTTTATGAGATATTTCTTATATATCACATTTCAATCTTCTCTCTGTGATAAATCACAGAATATTATTTACAAACAGTTGCCCGCACTTTAATATAAGAAAATTATACTGGGTTTTAGAAACATACGAGAGATTTATTTAATCAAAACTGAAATTGATCAATATTCGTGACGTAGATCAGAGAATAAAATTATCGTGCAAACATTGATTGAATCAAATTGCATTTTGTATATATATTGAGAAGAGAAACTATTCAGAAATATTCCAAATTCTTCGGAGTCTACCGGAGAATTCTCGATTGAGAATAGTTTATACAAAACAGAAACGAACAAATATGTAGAAAGTTTAACATCGCGCGCTGAAAGGGTTAATCGAATTTTCACGTGCGATGTGCAACTAACGTGCTCGCATCGCCTACTTGCCAATTGATATTTAGTGAACTTTGGTGAATTGACGTAATTCGATCGATCGATATTTGAAGAAACATATTGACTGACCTTCACCCGGTTTCCGGTCGAGTCCACCAGCGGAAGTAGCTCGTTTTTTGCTGCCATCCAGCTCCCTCTCGGAGGATCTCCTAGTGAGGGGCTGCGCAGCAGAAAACATCATGACATTGGTGGTAGAGGTGGCCCTGCGAGTACCCCAGAAGGTAGAGCCGCCGGTATCGGCGGGCTCCAGCATCCGCGGCGTGGAGCTGCCAAACGCGAAAACGATGTGCGACCTCTCATTCCTCTTCTTTGCCTCGATGCGTGCCTCCCTCTCCTGATTTTTACGGAGGATAGCCTCTCGTCTCTCTCGCTCTGCCTCGCATATCAGCCGTTTTCTCTCTTCGACTTGATTTCGTCTGTACAAAAAAAAAACGACAAAATATAAATGAATCTAATTTCAGACATAAAGTCTATTTTCTGTAGCTGAGCTAGTAGTATACATACATATTTTTGAAATTTAAAGTGAGATAGGTATATATTTGATATTTGGCGAACGCGAGAAAGAGAGTTCTAGTGCAATCTAGTGTAGGAAATAGACTTATAATTTCCGATGAAAGACTTATTTTTACAGATAAGAGACTAGATCATTTCCTATTTTACGTACAGATTACGTATTAATTCCTTTCAACCAAATATCAAGATACACGTAATTTAAGCGGAAAAGAATATACAAATTTGTTCTTTAAATTCTTGATCTAAAATCAACGAAATTATCAATTGGATCAATTGTAAAGTCCCTTAATTGCGGCATTTTTAAATCGACAAACCTGTCGTTATCACGCGATCTGAGTTCATCGATGCGTCTTCGTCGCTCTTCCTCGCGCTGTTCGCGGAAGCGTTGCGCGGCGAGAGCCTGCTGCCTAAGCTCCTCCAATTTCCGCTGCCGCTCCTCGTTCTGCCTCTCGCGGACGAGCTTCGCCCTGTCCAACTCCTTCGAGCTTCCCGTCGACTCCCGTCCTGCGAATCACGCGAAACAAAAATATTCAGTATCCGCTTGCTAATTCCAAAAATTACAAATATTTAGTTTGCGCTGACTGTTTTCCATCAACAAGTGAATTTGATTAGCGATCAACGCATCTTTTTTTTAGAATGTTATACAAAGAAGTTTTTAATCGCAGCTTCACTCAATTATACATTTAGTAATATAAATTTCAAGTTAAGCGGGTTTAAATACATTGAGATAATTTACAATCGAAATTTTAAAAGATTATTATAAGTCACAAATAAAAGTTTGCAAATGAAAATTAATATTCTTAAAATTTGAAACAATTCCCAAAGTAAAGGTAATATAAACATATCGTAAATAATATCAAATATCCAAATAATTAATTATTAAAAATAATGTATGTAAGACAAGTGTGTGTATATGTATATGTATAGGAATAATCAAAGGAATATGCTAATCTTATTGATTAAAAAAACAGATGGAGAATATATATATGTATATATAAAATACAATAAGATAGTAATAAAAATAGCTATTTACAAACGAAATATTTAATCAGAGAATACGGTAAAATACATGACGCGATTAGAGATAATGTTCAACACAAATGAGTTTTTATTATTAGGTTAACGTATAGATACGCAAAATTAACATGAGTAATAACTGCCATCGTTATTCGTTGACTGATATGAATGTTAGCGTTAAAAGGCGTTATTATATCTTATTAATATTATCGAAAAAGAAAGAATTTACTGAGAAGAAAGAAGGAAATGGTCTGTACAATGCCCTTGAAAACGTTGATACCTTCATTGTCGTAAGGACGATCGCCATCGAGAGAGTCCTCGTCGTAGAGACTTCGCGGGCGCTTCACATCTGCCAAGAAGAAAGCGAGATATGTGCGTGTACACGTAAGATTCAAGTATTAATAAAACTACAGCACTTACGAATGAATGTATGAATGAATGAATGAATAAATGGTTATTAAGGTATGCTGTGTATAGTGATATGTGTACTCGCGCGGTTAAAATGAAAGATTTGCATGCATGTGAGTGCTCGTGTTAATGCAAAATTGTGGACAGATGTTGCAACGAAGAAAAGTAATGGATAAATCGTGATGATGTTAGTATCGATAGGTCCTAGTAACTTTGGTACATAAATATAAAATTTCATTAATGAAATAATTAGGAATTAAAAACTAAGGAGTATAAAATTCAAAATAATAGACCAGTTTTTTTAATGTTCATATCAAGAATAATTAAAATATTGTCTTTTTATGATTTCTCTTTGCTTAGTAAGCTTCTAAGTAAGGCTCCCTTAAAAATATCTCTATTTTATAAAATGACAACTCTCATTTTTTCTTTAAGCGATATTTTCATCCTGTAATCTTTGCGTCTGCCTTTTATAATTTCTTCGGAAAAGATAATCAGATTCTATAAGAAGAAGGTAATAATCTGCGTATAAATCTGCTCTTCAGATATACGTTTTATAAATACGATAAAAAAATGGGGTTATCACAAAATGTGAAAAGAAAATCTATTTTCATTGAATATTAAAAATGTAAGCCGCATTCGCTAAGAAGCTCTCAAGGCGAGTTGAAAATTGCGCAGTAGCGAAAAAAGTACGTCACATTTTGCCAGCCCATTTTATTTACCATTAATAATCAAAATGAAAATTGTACAAAAAATATCATAATATTCAGTATTCTCTATTTAATACTATACAAATCCTATTATTAAATTATTATATACAGTTCAGAAAGAAATTTTAATTAAGAAAATAACGTCAGGGTTTGTAAAAATATTTACTTTACTTGAAAAATAAACAATATTCACCTAACATTTTTAAGACATAGAGAACAAACATTTTTACAATGAATTCATATTTAATTTATTACATTTAAACAGCATTCACTCGCCGAATAAACAATATTTTGCGGTATTAATATACAGCGATAAATTTTTTATAATATCATTTATTAAATTTATAAACGTATCGGAAGATTAGTTTTCAAACTGAAAAGCGTTAACCATTATTCGAACACGCACTCCGTTACACAATTGTCAAATTACTGAACTCGTTAGTGTTGTTATTCATTGTAGGATGAATTCGATTTTTATATATTTTTCAAAATAGTACGTGCCGTCCAAAAAATAAAAACGTTTAACGTTGCATTGAGAAAAATTCTGATTGAAAATCAACGAACCAGAAGATTCTGATTATATCAGCCAGAGTTCTTGTTATCTTAAAATTATAATAGATTCAACAAGAAAATTGATGATTTATTTATTTTCAATCAGAATTCCAATTAATACAACCAGACTTTTTCATTGCAGTTTTGTTAAAAAATAGCCTAGCAAAAGCAATATCTTATAGGCTCAATAAACGCGAGTAGGAAATATTATGTTCTATAGCAATATTATATTCTGCGGCTTGTCGTTAAATAACATAATTCATATTCATATAAATTTATATGAATTTTTTTTCACATTCAGTGATGATATTGTTCAATTCTCATGCTTACAATTAGTTAAATTAGATCCTCGTAAATCGAGATGCAAATAAAATTCACATCAGGATTTGTCACACTCTTTGTCACATAAAATCGAATACCAACAGATATATTATACATTTTTAGTATTTACTTACAGATTTATTTAGCATTTTCTAGTTATAACACAGATATAAATTATCTCAATTTTAAAAATATGATATTAAAATTATCGCATTAGGATTAATCTTTTGTTAGCAACATCAAAATCATATGGAATCCCTTGGGTAATAAAACGAATGACGATATACATCACTTTTCACTTTATAAATTATCTCGAAAAATCAGAAGTGTCTCTGCACACACAAATATGCAACGGGTTAGGATGCAATCTCGCTTTTAGATGTTCAACGCAATAAACATGGCGATTCTCTCAATGTTGCAAAGAGATAGGTACCACACACAAGTCACACAATCGTTATCGAAGTACGTTGAGCTCAACCCGAGCATACCTGTCAAAGAGAGAGAGTCGTCACCACCAATCTGGGCGAACCAGTGCATCGTTTGTTCTGCGGAAGATAAATTCGATGGTGTACACTTTCTCTGAGAGTTATAAAGTTCACGTGGTTCGTAATACTCTTCGCGCGATAACGTTACCACTACTGTCAGTGAAAAATATGTGTTTAATGATCAATGATATCAAAGTACATTGTTGTAGATAGCACCAGCTGATTCTAGTCAATATTGTTTACCTAATGATGACAGAGTGTCATATACGTTACATGATATTGCAATTTATTCGATCACATTACTTGTTAAATGATATTATTTTCTCTGATAAGAGTTGCTTAAAATTATACTATCTAATTATGCTGTGGCCTTTTGAAACTTCGCAATAAATAAATACTGTTAACTGTATCTGCGTAACGAAGTTATTCATTAAATCTCTATATTCGAAATTACATTTTCGTCGAGCGATGAGATATATTGATCGACACCTCGTTATCTCACCATGTTATTTATTGGTGCTAGTGAAGTCTTTCGCTTTGCATCCATACTGCATTAATCCGATGTATCACTTTCCCCTATGCTTATTAATTGCACTGCGGCTGGCTTATTTTCATCCTTCGCGGGCTGTTTTCGACAAGTGTCAACGGGAACGACCATCAAGCTGCCAATACTGAGTGTAAAAACAAAGAAGAAGGAAACGTACCATCTACCGCTGATGATAATTAGACATGCCATCAGTAATACGGAACGTAGAATCGAACGGGAACGAGAAAAAGAAAAAAATGTCGAAGAACGCGAGAGATGAAATGCCGAAGACTACGGCGAATGATATGAAAAGAAGACATTTTGCGACGTCACGAATATCGAATTACGTCGCAACATGCAAAAGAGGGTTCTCTCCGATGAAATCAGCGCTTGGATTTTTCAAATAACATATGATAGTAATATAAGACTCGCTCTCCTTTTATCGAAGATAGGAAACTGTTGAGAGTCACTTGCACGTAAATATAATTTAGAAGACGAATTCGTATTGAATCATTAGGGAAATACTCGATATACTCGCTCAAGTTGAAGACGTTGAGTGAAGTGCTCTAAAAACAAAAAGGAAAAATAAAGAGCCGAGATATTCGCAAAAAATGAGCTGTATGAAAGTTTGATATCATCTTATCCATTTACTTAACTATTTATGAGAAAATCAATAGACTTTATATTGCAAAATTGTGAATTATTGAAGTATAATAACTTTTTATTACTCACATTTGTGCCATCGTGTCGTACTTTCGCCAATAAATTTTTTTGAAGATCGTTAAATATAAAAGAAATATCAAATGCTAAAATAATCAAATTCCTTGAGTTAAATAATATTTTTTTATTTCTAACTTCCATGTGTGTTCATAAAATGTAAATCAAACCATCATTTTTAAAGTTAGTTTCAAAGTAAACAACGTCTGCATAACATATGCACTTAGAATCAAATTTAGTATTTTTTAAAATTAAATTATTAAAGTCTAATATTTTAGTTAAATTAATGATGTATTGAAAAGAAGTAGTGGCGTATAAATTAAAATTGGGTATAAATAATAAGTTATGAATTCAAAAGTGTGTCTAAATATAAGTAAAACAATTTTCAATATTTCTCATATTTAATTAAGAATCAACATTTTATAATTGGATAAACAATGTTAATATAATACAAAATACTGCGGGTGTAACATACAATCGTAATTTTTACAGATAAAAAATGGAAAGAAAAAAAAATTCGCTACAAAAAGCGCGCACCAGATCTCTTCTCTTTCGTCTCCATTACCGTGATCAAAAAGATTTTTCTTGTTCGACTGTGGAAAACAAAGAAACTTCTAAAGAAGAGCGAAGGTAAAGATATTCGTTGGAACATTATTTTCGTAGATGCAAAATGTACTGTTTGATATTGCACGCAATCCGTAGAACTATTAATTTCCCTGAAAACGCACAATGCGTCTCGATCCATCCTCTGTCTGAAAGCTGTCCTCCACACAATATCGCCGTTAATTTACCCGTCTTTGATGAATGGAATGGAATAGCGCATGAAGAACAATGCGATCGCGTTTAATATATGGCGTTCCGGTTAATTTTGAGGGATTTTTTTGCCAAAAAAATACGTTTATCTTAGGGAAATGTTAAATCATATTTTATTCAAAATATTTGTCATCACTAGCTACAACTTTTTCTCACTTTTCTAGCAATAATTGGATTTCGCGATAAAAAAATGTTCGTCCTTCCCAGCAAGCAACCCTTCATCGAGCTACTTTTTTATGTCATCATATGTTTTGAAGTGCTGGTCAGCAAGGTTGTGCTGCATCGATCGAAATAAGTAATAATCCGAAGGAGCACAGTCTGATGAATACGCGGCATGTAGTAAAAGTTCCTTATACAGATTTCTTTAATAAGATTTAATACAACGTGCGAAGAATTAGAGTTAAATGAGAAATAGAAATGCTTAGAAACAGATTGCGAAGAAGCGTTAAAGTATTTTGTATAAACATTTTATTAGGTGTTGGAATTAATTCGTAGCGTTTTTAATGAAAGAATGTTATTTATTTCACATGAGCATTAAAAAATACATTAATGAAAGTACTTCCCATCACTTGTAAAACGCTACGAATTAATTCCAATACCTAATATATAAAATTTCGAAAATATAAACAAATTATAAATTCATACAATGAAGATATTTATTCTGCGGAATTGTTAGATTTTGACTTAGCAAGATCGTATAAAAACTGCTTTTTAATGAACTACAAAAAAATCAACTTAATACAATAAACTGCTCTCTAAATTTTATTCTATGGTAAGAATAATTTTGTAATAAAATAGGTATCTAAAAGTTTAATTATAGATGTAGATTTGTGAAAATAATTTTGTTAAAATAATTATGTAAGTCGCTCAAGCTAATCGTTAAAATATTTGCTGATTGTTACAAACTTTTTGTAACATTGCTCATTATGTTTGAGTGTTCTACATAATTATATTAATAAGCTAACATTTTCAGATTTGTATATATTTGAATTTTTAGATACTTTAGCAAAATTGTTCTTTCCGCACTGAAAAAAAAAAGATTGATTGCTGCAACAATTTAGACAGTAAAATATGGCATAGCATTTTTGTATGATTGTAACCATATAAAAATGCTATGCCATATTTTATTATATAGTATGCAGTATTTTAAGCAGACGATTCATTAAAATATCGATCTGACGAAAATATTTACAGCCATATATCCGTAATTTTGAGATGCAAGGATAGGTATAATGCGGTAACCGACACAATTTAACAAATGGGATAGTCGCAGCCTGTCGCCTGGAGGAATGCGCTCATTCGAACCGGTGGTTTATCTATCATGCAGCTGCAGTCATAACCTTCGTCTTGGAAGCTCAAACGCTGGAAAATCCACCAGTGGATACACATAGTGCTCTGTTAATCTCCCTTCGCTTGGAAGTGGGTCGGAAAACAATGGAATCCGTCGCTTCCATCTCTTGATGGAATCCGTCGCTTTTGTGTGGAGGTTGTCTTCCTAATTCTCTCCCTTTACTTCTTTCCACCTCCTCGGCTTTTCCTCTCAAATCCGCCATTCATTCATTTGACTGTTCTATCTCGCTAACCTTGCTCGAGTGGCGATGTAGAATGCGAATAGATATGCGCTAGTTGAAGTCACGCGAATGATCCATGAGGTGTTGCCACGTGGTATTCTTATCGATGATCGTGTTTTTCATGTCTGCTGAAGCGATAATTACGCGTCGAGTGACGCCTATAGATATTCATATATGAATTATGTCTCAGAAGGAATATATCATTGTAAAGATAAATCACCAATATCTCTTACTTGCAGATGGATAAATCGATATAAAAGAACGATATAAGAGAAATGTTAGAAAAATTTTTATTTTAAGCTATTCGTCTTTTATGATTTGTTGTTGATATTTAGTTTATACTGATATTTAATTTTTTAAATTACTAATTTCTAATTTATACAAAATAAATTGTAGTATACTTATTAAAATATATTTTTAGGAAATAAAATAAATTTTTGGAAAAACATATTTTTTTCGATGTGCGTAGAGTAATTTTATGTAGGTAAATTTTTAATGAAGGTCGTGGATAACGATCGAAATTGTTTTTATTTCTCACGTACGCTCTAGTATGCTAGTGTTTAATTTAACAAGCGAACGTGCTTCTTAAGCACAGACGATATTTATATTTCGAATTTAAAGCCTCGATAATTCTCTTTGTCTTTCAAGTTAAACAAACGTACTTTAAATATTGTGCAAGTGTTTCATTAATTTTTAAATAAACTAGAGAAAGTAACTCGGGGGAAAGACATACACGTGAATATTCCCCAGATAATATTTTCCCACTTTCTTCTTTTGTATTATTCTCATAAAATCCGTTATTAAAATAAGAGACGAATTAAACTTTCCATTAAACTTTCAACTGTACATAGTTAAGTATAAATTAATATGTTGTACGTGTGTGTAATAAATTATCTGGTGCGAGTTACACGTACGCACACATATTCGACATGGACCTTGTTAGTTATTTAATTATACCAGATGCTGAGATGTGTTTAATTATACAATCATATAATAAATTACGCATCGCGTCCCTTGTTTCGAATTACATTTTTATGCATTACTACGCGCGCGATTTTTCCATGAAGGATTTATTAATAATTTCATGGGCGCTTTTCACAATTGATTAAACTAACGCAACAGTGCCTTCCCACAAAAGCGCGAATTGCATTTGAAGCGTTATTAAATCCTCTTAACTGTTCCGCAGGTTGAACTAGGAGAATTGCATTTGTTATCTACCACGACTCAGAGATCGTACTTCGGATTCATCATGACTCGATAGTTCTACCACAGATTGGAAAGCAGTTATGTGGTTTCCCGCGCTAGATTAATATCGTTATCGACAGTGGAATATCTCGGATGCAGCAACCTATATTCTTAAGAGAGAATTCGACAAGGATTTTGAATTTACACGGAAAGAACGATTTGGTTGAAGTATCTAAAAATTTAGCTAGAAAATAATATTAAAATAAATTTAACTGAATCATTATATTTAATGTAAGAAACTTAAGCACGATGAACAATACTGTAAAAAATTTAGACAACCAGACCGTTTTACATAATTATTTTGATAGACCAAAAAATTATTTACGAATCTATATTTAGCTAATTTTTTAAATATTTCGGCATACAAAATCATTCTTTCCACGTACGCAAAATATTTGGCAAATTCTTCTCTATTATTCTTGTGTAATTTTATAAAACAGTTTTAATCATTTTTTAAATGAATGAATTGAGGAATTTCATGAAGATTGTTTGATGTTATTACTATTCAAATTAACATAATTAAAATGTAGCGTTTATATATATATATATGTATGTGTGTATATATATATATATATATATATATATATATATCCACTGATAGATATGTAGAAAATCTAACTAATTGTAAGTGAACACTTTGAGCAATTCGATCGTATCTCTTTATGTTTTGAAAGTACATGTTCAAAATGTCAAATGTCTCAAGTTCTAATAAAAACTGATCTGTATATATATTTGTATGTACATACGTCTGTGTCACTATTTATATTACAAATAAATGATCAAGCTGTGCTTTCAAGCATCACGGAAATGTCAGGAGGTACGAAGTGCGATATTAAAAAGTGCACCGCGTTCAAATCCGCCGTGTAAATGTCAAAAAGCCACCGTGAGAGTATCACATCGAACATCACACGAGGTAATAAAAAGTTCTCAAGCCAGCGCTTTAGAGTTTCGAAAATCAGTCAGGTTACATTACATAAGATAGACAAGAAAAAAAAAGAGAAAAGATTAAATTAAATTTTAAAGCACAAAAAAAACACCGCATTATATCATTTTCATAACAAAGCTATTTCTTTAACATAATTTTATCCGGAAATTTAAAAAATTACGAATTGATTAAGTTAGAGCTTTTATTTATGCTTGTTGCTAAGAATAGCAAATCATTTAATTGTTTATTTTGAGATACAATGTGGCGATCCTTTCGGCTCGATAAACTATAGTATTCTATTACAACAAACGAAAATGTCTTAAATGCAATTAGTTGTGTTCGTAGAACTTACCCTTCGTGAGAGAGTGGCGATTGTGTGCAGAACTGGACCTTTGGTTAGTTTCCTCAGGAGCGGCTCCAGCTGCAAAATAAATTGTTCCACATAAAACAATTCACTCCACTGTACCGAAGTTAGTTATTGAATATGCGAGCGTGTTATGGCAGTGAATAAAAATTTAATTAAAAGCGGTAGTCGTCTGGCGACATACGGTTTCGAATGCTTCGAACACCTTGCGTCGCGCCGGTATTAGTATTTTAGTAGCTGTCATCATTCCTTGCAGTGAAACTGGTGTCATGGAAGGCAGAGAGCAGGGGATTTAATTAAAGTTTCTGTTTTGGATTATATTATCTAAATTCATTATCTGATTTTAGTTTAGGATTATTAAGCGCATTTTAGACGTTCTATAATTTACGTCAGAATTCAAGATAGAATTTTATTTATAATTTTATATGTATGAGGTACATTCTATTGTATTATAATATACATATGAATTATAGATTGTTAGTTGCTATAATCAATTAAATTATGATGTAGAAAATTCATAAATTTGCAATTAGTTTCGCAATACCTCAATATTCAAAATTAGATATTATGTGAAAGTTAAGCAAATATTATAAAAGACAGATTTTCGAGAAATACGTCTATTATTAAACGAGAATTTTTTAATCGCAAATAAAACCGAGATATTGACAGTGAATGAAGCGAGACATCCACACGCACCATAAAGAAATTGTATTATATGTTAATGAGTATCGAATTGTGCATTGCATGTAGGTAAGAGTTAGGCGCAATGACAAGGAGATGCGTATCTGGTGCACAACATGTATAGGGTAGATGCGGTAGTTGAACTTCGACATTTCGCAGAGAGGGTCTTTTCCTTCCATTACGTAGAGACATTCACCGACTAAATTGGGTGGAACTTGGACGCGCTAGTCTAGAAAAGGTTCGATATGCAGGCTCATATCCTCCGAATGAAGCATATATTTCCAGCGCATCTAATTTACTTCGAGATTCGATAGATAAAATTACACTTCATTACTTCTTTTTACCTCAAATGTTAAAATCACCAGATTTAAATTTCTAAACTTCTTAAAAACGTGCTAATAGAGAATAATTTTTTGAAATTAATGTAGCAAAAGAGACACATTATTATTTTTAGCTTAATATAGGAACGATTTATCGACAATTTAAAAAAAAACTAAATTACCTCCTGCATAAGAAACGACGGAAAAGAGTACTTAGGTTCTAATTCCAACCGCAAGATAAGATTTTAAGTGAGAGCATAGAGAGAGAGTAGGAAGAGACTAATCTGAGTCGACGGTGAATCTCGCTTCCTATAGCAGGTGTGCTGTACTTTAAAGTATCGGGCGGTGGATAATGACGCGGAACGACGGATGAGGACGCTAACGATGATAACGCGAGACGTTTATGGCGAGGAGAAAGCATTTTATCGCACGTCGTCAGAGTTTACCATCGATAGTCGCTCTTACGAGGACAGCTCTCCAAATTCTCGCTAAATTCGCGCTATTAAGACGTCGCTGTCTACAGATAATGAGAACGGAGAGGGTAAGACGCCGATGAACGTCGAGATAAAATCTCCGATACAACGCGCATCGCGAAAGGAAACATAAGACACGGGACGAAAAGCCGAAGTGAATCTTTTGTGATTTAAAGATGCCGGAGGTGTACTCGGGAAAGCATTGTCACGATTTGTCAGAATTAGGAGTCTCGCTATGAAAGAAGAATCCGGCTCGCTTAACAATGTTATCTAATGTGTTTTTCTCATATAAAATACAATAACCATCGTTTTACGTTGACTTTTTGAAGATGCAGTCAGTTATAATATTTGCATTACTGTTAATCATACTAGAGAATACAAAAATATTTTTGCATTATTTTAGAATATTTAACTATTACTTTTCCCGGATTAAGAATGAGAAATAAAATATGAATGATAGAATTAAACAATTCAAAAGTAACAGAAGGTCCTAATGCGTCAATCTTTTATTAAAAATATTGCACGGATTTAGTAATATCAAGTTATTACAAACTAATGATCGCTTATTGTAACACAATTGAAATATCTGCGTAATGAATCTAAGAAATGATATATGTATAAATCGTGCAATAAAGTCTATTCGTCGAAGAATATTAAAAATGTAATAATGATTTTACTTATTTCGTAATATGTGTTAATATTTAAACTTAGACGGTTGGCGCGCAGTGTTAATTTTCATGGGCGATCATGTTCACGCATCATGTTCACGCATCATGTTCACGCAATCATTTGCATATTGAGGCTCGTACAAATAGTTAGTCACACCATTTTGGGTGTTCTTCACATTTTTTTTTTGAATGCAATGGAGACAAGTGTTAGATAATATGAAACGTTACATATACTTTATAAATGCTCACAGTATATGCAGATTATTAGCTTGCGGTTAGCTTCATAAATGGATCGAGATGACAATCATGTATTACGGAACAGATGTTTCATATAGTCATGTATGTTCGTATAGTTTGGAATCAAAATGCGACAGAAAACAAGATTTATAATTATTTCGCAATAATTACGAACGAAACGTATTTTTATTTAACATAAAATTTTTCTTTCGAGTGCGTAGAAGTCTCGATTATACTTCGGACGGTATTACACGAGTAAAAAAGCAATGTTAATAAATACCCTTATTCCAAATGACGTAATTCATACGATTCCTATTTTCAAAATTAACGCATTTTGTATGTAGTTATTAATTTAATTAATTTTTCGTGCATCTTTCCTAATGCGATAAAAAATTGAGCGTAACTTTGAAATGGAATTATTTATCGGTAATAAAAAGAATCTTTCTTTTTCTTTAAGCATTCGATTGATTCTAATCATATCTTACAGATATCACAATAAAAAATTCAACTCTTCTATCTGCTCTGTATTTATTTCGCAGTGGTGACGAATTAACGTGTGTTTGATACTCATTTTTAAAAGTTAACCGATTACTGTAGTAATATAGATAATTCAGATAATTATATATTACATTTTCTAGATGATATCTTTCCTCTCACGGATACGACGTAGTGGAAGGGCTCAGTATCCCAAGGATATAAAAAAAAAAACGATTTTTCTAAAGTATCTAAAAATTTTTAACTCTGAATTATATATCTAGCTAAATTTTTAAAATATTTGAATAAAATCGTTTTCATGTAAAAAATCCAACGACGGGGAAACTAACGTACCGTCGTCGTCGATTTAATTGAAAATGAACAAATCGCAGTCGGTTCATCCGCGTTGCGCGTTTGTGTGTATGTGTGCGTGCTTCGAGAGTGCCATTGAAATTATCATACTAATGAACTTTTCACAAAACCCATTCGATAGAGTTGTAATTCGACGATGGTGTCATATCTTCGATGTATAGTAAGTGGAACTCTCTTATTGAGACGCTGTATAAGGTGTTCCATGGTCACTGTAACTCTCACGTCAAGTGCTCCGGGCACGAAGTGATGCCGTGTAATATCACGCACTCCGCAATGGTGCAGTTTGGCAATTACTGTTGCTGTTAATTGAGGACACGCTCTGTCTGTCGGCAAACGGTTCGGTCCTTAGCGGGGCTCTTTAAGAAGTGATCGATTGGTTCGGATTCGATTCTGGGATGCCCAAAAAGGAGTTGTATTACTCTGATCAGAGCGCTCATTTCTCTGCCTTTATCTATTAACGTCTCAATGTGTTTAATCTGACTTGGCCAGAGCCTAACTGGTTAATTTTTTGCTCATGACAAAGGCTGGATCTCATTTCTTAGATTGTCTAGATTGTCAGACTCGGCAATGGATACCAACTTTTCTCTTATTAGAGGCGCTCGTCACGTCTACCAGCCTCTTCGAATTGCTGGTGGTACTGCATCACTTGTGTCTCACTAGAAGTAGTAGTTAGAGAGTATACTTGAATCAATTAAACGTGATTTTTTGCGTAAACTAAAGATGACAGAGTCGATACGATCGATTTCGTTTTTTTTCATGTGAGACTTAATCCTTGTACAGCATTCATCGAGTGTTTCGCATATAATCGTCGACGTGTGCTGTTAATGCCACCGACCGAAATGGAAATTCTATCATGAATTTGGTAAATGTAAAATACCGCAGAATTTTATAATTCAAAAACTATTCATTTATTAAGCCTTATGTCTATGACATTTTTTGTCTATCATGTTATAAGCTGTATTGTATACCTACATATATGTGTACTTATTAACTCATTTCATCTAGATCCAATTTTTCATATAATAATTAGTGTGAGCTCTTTCTCGATTTTTAATAAATCGATAAAAAATTGAGCACAACATTTAGGAAAAGAGTGGAGCAATAATGCATGAGATTTATTTTAAAGATTGTATCTAAAGTGAATATTAAATAAGTTATTTTATTAAATCTCATAAAATATTTTACGTGCGAATGCAAGTGAAGAACATCAGTATTAGAAAGATTTTTAGAGTCTCGGTCGAAGTTTTCTAACATTTTTACGTTTCTCTCAATGCTGTTTTCCTAAGGGATTAACTCGATGTTGGAGCGAGGCGAATGAATCGAAATCGCGTTTACTGCGTCACTGAGAGTACGAATGAAGTCTTGGGCAAATTTAGACACACTTGAAACTACAACGAGAATACGAATCGGGATAAAAGGAAATGGCCTCACGGGAATAAACGTGAGTACGCGAGTTCTTGCATCTATACAAACGGCTAAGTTGAACAACATACGCTACATAATCTCGCGATTTGTCGGTTGTGTCGACACAAGAATCACGAATAAATTATATCGCTACCTGACTACGTCTGGCAACGATAATCTATGTAACTTATGGCAAGAAACTATGTTTTCAGTTAACGAAGGTTTAAGAATTTTATTCAACTCTAAAAAATGATAGCATACAAAAAACTACTTTAAATTTCTGAAATGTTTTTCCTAAAATTTTAATTATTATTTAATATTAAAATAGCTTTCAATATTATTTTTAAATTCATAAAAGAGATTGATGTGAAGATATATAATTTTGTTTGTTTTTTGTATAAAAGATTCATTGTTGCATATTTCTGTGA